TACCGTGCAGTGCAAGTGCAGGTGCAGGTGCAGGTGCGTGTGAAGTCTCCGCTTTGCCCTATTTTCTTATGCTTCCTGGTCTGTCGTCATACCGCAGATGCAGTCAGGATGCCATTGCCCGTTCGGCCCCAACAATATCAGATGCTGATTATCGCACTATCACTGCCTAATCCTGTTGGTGCATTGGTGCCAAAAACTGGCCCGAGTGAGAGGGAAAAAACCCTCTTAACCTCCAGCAGATATGCCGATTGCTGATAACAGATGTTCTTACCTTGGGCCATCTACCGTATCACATGACCTCCATTATGAACATACTCATGCTACAGGTTAAGTTACCCTTTCTACCAACAACGTCATCCTCCGCATCTGCCAGCGGGAATAGGCAGACCTCAGACTCAGAAGAGGCAGGGCAGCCGCACTACGCCGTTTAGAGCGACTGAGACAGGAATGTACCGGTCTTTCTGATCCGAAGCATCTCCAGCTTTTTTTTCTGCTTCAGTGATCCTCGTTGGTCAGCCCGATGGACCTTAGCCTAGTTGGAAACCCGCAACGGTGGATCTCATTTCAACATCCGCTTTTCATTCGCACACGAAACTCGGAAAGGGAGAGATGCTAAGGAACACTTGACTAACGCTTTTTCACCGGTCCGCCTTTCGGAATCGAGGCATTGTTATCTTGTCTGTCTGGTTTGGTTCTGCCTACAATATTGATTGCCCTTCTCAGTCAGGGCAGCTCATTCAGAGTGTCCTCCAAAAGAGATGCTCACTCCCTGCACGAGGACTTCTTTGCCATGTATGGTTATGGACAACAGAAGGCACTGCCCTCGAACTTGCGAATCGATATCAACATCCGGAACCTCCCCGCGCGCCCCAAGGGCAACCCTAGTCCCGTGTCGTCGTTCCTTAGACCCGTCTCTAACCTGCTTGAGGCAGCAATCATCTTTGCCCGTCTCTCTCCCAAAACAGTAAAATCGACTAGTTCTCTCGGGGGTTCCGCTGTCCCTGCGTGGAAAATCGCTAGCCGATCATGGTTGTTCGAAGCATCGGTGCACATCCAGGCGCCATTTAGTGCTGTTTCAACTTTTTCTCACCGCAGTTGCAACTGACGTACGTCCTTGACTTACATCCGAAGACGTTCTACGAGCACTCACTTTTTGCCACAAAACCAAAGGAGTAAAGAAAACTCAATCTGCTCCCTTGCCGCGTCGTGGACGGGAAAGAATCTCGATAACATCTCCCCGCCCGCGCCCCCAAACGACAAACGAAACCCATGGCTTGACCTAGCATCACCCTGGCGCGTTTTAGCATCCCGCCACAAAGAAGACAAAAAGCCGGGGCCGTAGGATATCCATTCCCCCTCCTGGGGTATGGCGCCGAGATAAACCAATTAGGCTCGAAGGCTTGTCGTCTTCTGCCGGATGGGGTAAGGACGAATCCGTACTGGCTAGTAGTTTGGATTAATGGGCGTTATTATGAATGGAGCCTTAGGCTGTCTGTGAGGGCACTCCGTAAGTTATCTTCTTAGTCCTTCGTCTAGCAGATGGAGGGGAGATTTTTACTCGTTTGGGGGAAGGTTTGCCGGTTTAGTAGGGGCGCGAGTATTCGTGGCTTCGCTTCGGGAGGCCTTTCGGAAGTCACCGTCTTTTCCCGGTCGGTCTATTTGAAGGCATCCACAGCTACCATGGAAGAGATTCGTAGTAGACTGTGCGGTGTATGACAGCCCTTTCCGGCAAAACTCATACACTCGTACGTACGTACGTACGTACGTCGCTTGCAGAGAGGATCGGGGGATCCGCTATACGGAACGTCGGAGCTTAGGGGGTATTCGAAACGAATCGGCTTGTGTAGGCTTTCTTTTGCAAGAAGATCGAACGGTAATCGTGTGCTAGCATTGCTGTAGTCTCCGGGGCTAATGATAACGTCCGATTGAGCCAAGGTCTGGGGTCTGTCAACTCCAGCCAGCAGTGGCACTTGTGGCCGTGAAAGGTCCTTGCGGAGCCGGCATCTATAGTATGACATTGACATTGACATCCGATAGTCTAACTATCTATCAATCTGATTAACAGTCGAAACGGGGTTGGCTAGATCCCTGATCGCTCGTCCGCGCGGGGGATCACAAACGGGCGATCAAGCACTCCTCATTCGTTGTCGGGGTTCGACCAGGATGCTTTGTCTCCTTTGGATCGTAAGATTCTGGTGGGTTATTGGTTGCGTGATGGTGCTTATCGACGAAGCTTATCTGGCGATGGCGACATTGACAGGGGAGGGGGAGGGGAACCGCGTGTGGAGTAGAATGTTATCTTTTGCGAGAGGGGGAGCAAGCTGCGAGTGATACGATTGTTCCTGGACATGCATTGTGAGTTTGACAGGCCGGTGGCATCTTTTTGCCTTCTTTGGGTTGCAGAGGCTGGGTTTTGTGACTGGATATGGATGGGTTGTCCTGGTGGGCGGGTGGTGGCTTGGTGACTTGCTGCTGGTGTAGTGCTTGTTCCGTTAGCAGATTACACATTCTGTTTCGGATCTTGTGGGCTTGCTACTTTCTCTGAGATAAGGTATGATGCCTGTATGATGGAGCAGGTTATACTTCAGTATAGTCATTGAGTTGGGGAAATTTAGGTAGTGAATAATTGGTGGATATGTTGCACATGCCTGTCACTCTACAATCAGGATGGTGGCCGTGTTGCAGTCTTCTGTCGAGCATTGGGTAGGCTTCAGGAGTAGATGTACGGAGTACCGAATCGCAGTATCGATGTTCTTTCAAGCTTGGCTGGTTCAATGTTTTGTGGTGCTTTCTTCAGGTTTATTCTTAGGAGCAGAGAGTATAAGTGTAAGTTGCGATGCTGTGTTGTCCGCTTTCGGCAGAAATATATAACGCCTCGACGCAGACACCTCCTCTCTACCACTCCCGTCGTTGTTGAACATACTCTCTAACAATGCAATGGCCGAGCAGCTGCTACACTCAATGGTTTAAGTTATCTTTATTATCATGAGAACGATAGCATGATTCAGTCAGCACAGGAAGATGGGCTACACCGAGAGATAAGCAGACGGCGGGTGGTTCGTGGATTGTCCTACGCGACAGTTTACTTGCGAACAACATTATTTATATCTTGAAACACAATGGCTGGATTAATCAAGCAGTTGTGAATCATATCGAGGCAGCACAGCCATCAACTACAAAATACACAGGGTCTCTCTGCTGCCTCTGACTCTGAGGTCATCGTGTACCTTGATCGACACTCTGCATCACAATGGCAGGGGTCCCCAAGCGCGGGTAGCCGGTAACTTAACTAGTCAGGCACTCCCGACGCGGTCCGATCTTCCCATCCTCCATTGTTCCATGTTTCTAACGCGGTGCGACGCGACGCGAAGCGAAATCCCCTCGCTCATTTGTCCAGCACCTGTTTCATGCTCGGTCTCACGGTCAACATGAATCTATCCCTGTAGCAGTCCTGCATTTGCATCTGATGCCCGACACACACATTAGAGGTGCCAAACATCCCTGATGATCCTGACGCCAGCCTCATCGGCTTCTAGAATGACACCGAACGCGATCAGCTCGGTACAGCAACGCCACTTCTTTGTTGACTGCTCCAGCAACCATAGGGTCGCATGCTCAAATACATTGTGGCTTGACTGTGCATCCCACATGTAGAATGCCCCGGACAGGTCTCGCCGCGATCGTGGACCGCCCTTGAGTGGGATAGACGTTCTGTTCTCCCTTGGCTGGAATTAAGCTTGGGCACACACATCCATGCACATAGCCGGTTTCTTGTTACAATGCAACCTGCAAAGTGTGCAGCTGACAATGCTCATCGGCATCATGATGCCTGATGACTGGGGAATTAGTAGCCTCTGAAACGTCGAATATCTCCGACCGTGCAGATGATGTGTCTTCTTGCCACCGCGACAAAAGGAAAGGACTTGCGACTGTCGAGTGCCCGGGAAACCGATCCTTCAGCTGCAACAAGGGTCGGGGAATCTGAGAAAGCGTAAACTCTTCCTCGATGCCGACCGAGCATTGCCGTTTGTCTGTTTTCTGTGGAGTACTCCGTGCTCCAGATCCTGTCTTACATCTTGGCTTCGAATCGTGATGTGTGTCGAACTCGCCAATGGCAAGATCTGGCTGGCTTTGCTCTACTACATTGAGTTGCAACTTGTAACTAACGTCTATGGGGGGCGAATCTCAGCTGTCCATGATGGAAACACCTTGGCAGTTCCTGGTCCTTTCAAGTCGGTCACTTCTGATCCTGGTTGGCAGTTCATGGCCCGATCTTCATCTCCGCCATCCGTACAAGATCGGGATTTTCACCGTTCTTTTGTCCGTCTAATTTGCCCCCCAGGCAGACAGACGGGCAAGAGATCACTATTTAGCCAGGATGAGAGAGGTCCTGGATTCCTAGCAACCGATTGGCGTGGTATCCCAACATTCCAACCACCCAACCGCATAGGGATCGATCGACAGGGGCCACAACACGTTACTGCTCGGGAAACGGAATGCTATACCCAGGCTGAGTCTCTCTTCACTGTTGTCCTCGATACCGGGTCGTATCAAGTCACATCCTGTAGGCACCTGGGTGGCGCGAGAAGGCTCGAAGCCACCCACTGTAACGGTATGCAAGGGATATTTCCTCTCCTCAGGACAGACCCTCTGAAGTGAAACATGATGTCAATGACTTTCCAGGCCTTTGGTCCCTCTGGATCTGCTTGTGGTGTGGCGGCGACGTGCTTTGTCATTGTTTTGTTGTTGTCGCTGCCTTTTTTTATACTAAGATTTGGCTGTCCACCGTCGGAATCACCGACTGCACGACCACGGAACAACCTCAACGACACCCATACTAACCACGATCAATCAGCTTCTGCCATTGATGGGCGCGACGTCCGATCCTTAGCTCCCGGTGACGCACTCAGTCGATACCACTCTCCTCTTACCTCAACCCACGCCTTCGCGCTTTCGACCCACCACTTACACTGAATAACCAGCGGATGATGCACCAAAATATGAAATTCGATGTTGCTATAGTGACTTGTTTGGCAATATTCACCGATGTTGCGAACGCTTTCTGGCGTCTGCCTTGTCGCGGACGAAGTGGTGTGGCTCGGATTGATCCCATAATGGCACCAGGGATACCATCGGATCATGTACACGCGGTTCATGGATCGGGCGGTCAGTTCTCTTGCATCATCTGTAGCTCATCAGCATGGTCGCTGAGTTTTCCCGATAGGATTCTCGATGTCCGCCAACGAGGCGAGTCTGAAGCAATCGAGCTGTACTTCGTGCGCAGTGACCCAGGACAAGTCAGCATACTGGGCGCCCGCGTTGTACTTCGTGCATCAAAACGGCGATGCTGAGCTTGTCAACGAAGTAGGCGGAATGCTTGCGTTAGTTGCCTAGGTTGCGATTATTGTTGATTTGTGTTGGTGCTGACGAAGACAGCTATTACCTTCTCAATGGCGAAAATGTGACGGCGTTCCCTGAAAACTTCCGCATGATGGCAGGAGATACATACCTGCGCGACTTCCCCTGGCCGATACCGGATCCCCCGCAGTCGGAGTGGTCTGGAAATGATCTAAAACAGGAGGCTCTTCGCCAGAAAGCTGTCGGATTCAACTGTCTCAATTACCAAAAGGATCCCGAACCCTCTCTGGGTCGCCATTTCTTGCCAAACAAGACATATTTGGATGAGCACTGCACGGAAGGCGTTCGGTTTGAATTGATGTTTCCATCCTGCTGGAATGGGAAGGATGTCGACACACCGGACCACAAGTCTCACTTGGCCTATCCGTCTCTGGTGATGGACGGGGAATGCCCAAAAGGCTTCGAGCATCGTCTGGTTTCACTATTCTATGAAAGCATCTGGGATACATACGCGTTCAAAAGCAACAAAGGCAATTTTGTGCTCGCCAATGGAGACCCCACGGGTTACGGCTATCACGGTGATTTCATGTACGGCTGGGATTCGCAAGTGCTCCAGCAGGCGGTGGATACATGCACAAACATGTCTGGAGAAGTGGCGGACTGCCCCATTTTTAAGCTTCAAAGTGATGAGAAACAGGATGAGTGCCGTTTCTCCGTCCCGGATGCTCTGAAGAATGAAGACGTGAACTACCACAAGGGTGGTCTCCCGAACAATGTCGCTATACAAAGCGGACCTGCATATGCTAGCCCAGTCAGATACATCACCACTACCACCGCCGCCGCCGCCGGTGGCCACGGGAGACCAACGCCCGTCTACTTGGATGATCTGCCCACTGTGGGAGTTGGTATTGATCTTGGGTTCTTGTCGGCCGGTCTGCATGTGGCCCTGCCTGAACTAACTACTTCGTCCATCACTACGACGGCGAAGGCAAGGGAGCCGACTGCTCCCCCGGTTGCAGAGGGCCCTCCTGCCCGTCCGATCACTTCCTCAATCACCGGCACACACACGACCATTGCTGCACCTTTCACCGCAGCTACTTCAGTGACTTCTGTCGCGCAACTTCCAATCCCGAGTGCGTCGGTCGTATCGGGATTTTCCAGTCTAACTGTCAAGCCGTCACTCTCGGCTTCCTCGTCGGCATTGACTGTGCTCTCGACTATGGCTACGAAGTCTTCGGTCTTGCTTGCATCAGTTCCAGCTTCTTCATCGGCGGTGTTGGCCAAGCCGGTAGTTGCGCCTCTCGCAGTCTCGACCGGCGTAACGCCAGCCATTTCTCAACCTTCACTCGATATGTCTTCAAATCTGACCTCGTCATCTATCGATGCAACATCCTCCTTGATTCCCTCGGCTCCAGTGACATCTGCAAATCTGTTTGCGGTGTCATCTCCAGCTCCGGAATCTTCATCTGCCGCCGTGCAGTCTTCGGTCTTGATTCCTCCGGCATCTAATCAAACCCCAATTGTGGTCACCGTCTCTTCGACGTCTTTCGTTTCTCCCACGCCGGCGTCTTTCAGTGCTACTCCGAGATCTTCAGTAATGGGCGTGCCTTTCTCATCCGCTGCCTCTGGTGGAGCCTCGTCATCGGCACCTCTCTTCCACACACCGAACACAACCGTGCCAATCACGCAGACCATCATGTCTGCAGCACTTATCGCTTCTCCGACATCTCCGTCCACAGACAGCATGGTAACACCGTCGACATCGGCCAAATCTTCCGCCACGAGCACCCCACTGATCAAGACGGTCTCGCCGGTGGCCAGCACCTTCGCCGTCGCAGCCAAACCTCCGGTGTTGACCACTCCTTCGTCCACGAGCGCCCCACTCATCAAGACGACGACTCAAATCTCGAGCGCCTCTGGAACAGCCCCGAAGCCAAGCGTGATGGCGTCTCCCAGCCGTCCACCCACCAAGGCTCCCCCAACAGCATCGAGCACCTTCGCGGTGGTCGCCAAGCCCGCGGTGACGCCCTCGCCAGCGACCAGCGTTCCACTCATCAAGTCCACCCACACAAGCGCAACGCCACTGGCCCAGCCGACCGTGACCACCCACACCACCAGTACCGCGTTGATCAAGACTCCCATAGCAGCATCGAGCACGCTGGCGATGATCCCCAGACCTGCGGGATCCCCAGACACCGAATCTTCCGACTCATTGGAGTATTCGTTTGCCAGCGCGGACTGGGAAGTGATCACGACGTGGTCGCCGCCCTCGAGCACCGTATCGGCCGACCCGCCCTCGTCCACAACCATCGTCTACGTGGAACAGGAGATCATCGTGCTCGTGGACGATCACGGTGTCCCTATCGAGACGCAGACTGGCTCGCTAGAAACCGCCTCGCAGACCACGTCCAGTGGCGGCGCGACGTCCAGCCGACCCCCTTCGAAGCGCGGTTGGTATCTCCACCATGCCGCCCACAAGCATTACCGCCACGGACACTCCCATTGATTGGAGTGGTCCGCCATGCAGGGGCTCTTGTGACTTTGTTTTCTTTCGGATATACTTATTTGCCCTTTCTTCAAATGTCCCTGCGATGGTCCAGGCACCGTCGGATTTACGATGTATATGTTAAATACCTCAGCTTCCCATCCTCGAAGGATCGGCTCCACCATCACTGTCGCGGTCTCTGGAAGAAATGCGAAGATGAATTCAGTGGAATATATTGAATGAATGAAAGCTTACTGGAGGATATTCCAGTTGCAGTGTAATGTTTTCTGCTTCTGCCCGGGTACTCTTTGCCTCGCACTGTAACAGCCAAATCTCAACCTACAGGATAAGCCTCAAGTTGAGATACTATCTCAAACAACATAGAAACTACAGACTCATCTAACCACTCGAACCTGCGCCGCCTATGCGCCCTCCTTAGCAGCCCCCTGTCGTTCGAGTTCTTCTTCAACGGTAAGTATAAGGTTATGCCTTCGAAGCAAACCCCAGAGAGAGGCAGGGATCCTGACGAGATCCTTTCCTAGTGATTTGCCCAGTGCAGGCTAGAGCTATTAGTCCTAACAGGCCAGCCAGATGCGTTGGGAGACTGGCTTACGTTGGGTTTGAGACCGGCATAATAAAAGTTGTTGCCATAGAACCTGTCACCACCATCCATGCGCCGCAAATATGTCCAAACCGCCTTGACAGTGGCCTCAGTCAGGTGGTCGTTGGCCCCCCTCAGTTCAAGCGCTTGGGGATCGTCGAGATGCAAGTGCGCGTACGTGGGCAACGCGTCGTCGTGCTGCTGCTCGATGGCAACATTCCAGATATTACAGATCCGTTGAGCCTCTGCATTCGCGTCGGCGAGGCTTCTTCTGCTCTCTGAGACCGCAGCACGGCGAAAATTGTAGCCATATTTGAATCTTCCTTTCCCCAGCGTTGTCTCGGGCAAATGTACTCCCTCGAGGAACAATCGGTTCGCGCACCTCGGGTAGAACAGGATGTCTCCATAGTCAGTGGTGATGGTGTTCCACGAAGTTCTCACGCCGCCGATCTCCAGGGCCATGTTGCCCATCCAGAGTCCGAAAGTGACCCTGGTAATATGGGTGGAGTCCGAATCCAGAAAAATGGCAACATCCCTCGACTCTCGCGCTTTCATCACGAGAAGGGGCTTGGGGTCTTGCTCCTGTTTCCCGCGAGCAGCAACGGTGGTCCGATCCAGGTATCCGGTATCACAGAGGAGCGACGAATCCGCCTGCGGCGACCGGAACAGCCAAAACCGACCCAACGCATTCATCGACATTTGGTACCCGCCTCGGCTCAGGGACATCGCGGCCAGCTTCAGCCGTTCGTTCCGGAAGATAAAGAGATCCTCGTTCGTCAAATTGGTGGCCCGGGCTTTGGCTTTGGCTCTGGCTTCGGCGCCTTTCGTCGCAAGCAAATGAGCGTCCGCGGCCACCAACGAGACGCGCCCGTTCTTCTTGGAAAACTCGATGAAGCCCAGATACCCGGACACCTCTCGAACAGTCGCTGTCACGAAGATCGAGTCATCTGTTTCCTGGTAGGTTTGAGTGAATCCACCATCCAGGCAGAACGACTCGGCGATCGCATCCTTCCTGAAGAAGAAAGTCAGCACTCTCGTCAGAATACATTGCTGTGGTTGCCGAGCATCGTGAGGAAACAAACCAGAATATGTAAAGCTCACGAAATGCATCGTCGTCGGCCCACCCTCGGATCTCGCGCTCATCAAGAATCAAGTGCATGGTTGAGATCTGGTTCCTAGCCCTCGCGGACGTGGTGTCCATGGATAATGAAAAGAGCCACTACTGATTAGATCGAAAGAAGTTCGAAAGTGAAAAAGAGAGAGAGAGAGATGCACGGAGAAGATAATAATACGGAAGGCTGTCAAGACGGAGAAACATGGGGAAGTAGAAGATAGAAGAGAGGAGATACAGAATTCCTCCGGAAGCCTAGTTAGAAGCGAGAAAAGGCTAGCTAGTAGTTCTCGATATTAGATCAGGAAACCGCGTCCAGACGCACTTGACGACCCAAACTGTACCAATTCTATCCAGGACAGGAAGTTGCATCCGAATATGAGGGTATCCTCTATAGGTATCCACCAGCAAGCAGCAGCTCCCCTTCCTTCCCTTTCTTCGGCAGTCCGACCATTTATTTACCGACAAACTCCAGTCGCAGCTCCCTCGTTTTGCTAGAAAAACAGGACATGGTAGAGTTAGCCAGTCAATCACTACCACACACGCTCTCTCCCCTACACCCTGATCCTCCCTCAGAGATTGGTAGGCTGGATGCAAAACTCACCATGCAGAAATTACTCTGGCACACCCCCAAACTCCCGTCCTTGTTGCAGGTCGCGCCGTTGGGTAGCTGCATGGGGGTGGAGATTAGCTTTCCCCGGGTTCATGGGATGATTTAAGGGGTGCATCGTATCCTGGGTATTGGGATGGATAGAGAGTCAAAGGGGAAGGGGGGAGAAGGGTTGGTTTTTTGAGACTCAGAAGGAGAGGATAGGGCTGGGGTGGGGGGACTGGGGGACTGGGGAGATACGTACGATGTTCACCCGCGCGGCCAGCGGCTTCTCCTTCGCCCCTGCCGTGGTGGGGGATGCTGCTGCTGTTCCGAGGAGGGCGAGGAGGGAGAGAGTGACGAAGGTTGGGATGTGCATTTTGTTGTTTGGTTTTGGTGGTTTGGTCTGGTCTGGGGGATCAGACTGATGAACTGATGGGATTGGGTGATGGTTAGGGCGAGGAGGGGAGCGGAGGGAAGAGGGGATTTATAGCTGCTGCTGCTTTGGATACCACTGGACGATGGCTGGGGGGTTGGCACTGGGATCGGGTTGCTTTTTCTTGTGTAGTTCTTCTGGACATGGACATGGACATGGACATGGGGCGGTTTCTGATGAGATGATCGACAGTCGGTCTGGGGTTGCTGATCCCTGGTTACTGCGTGATGTACAGGCGCTAGACCTAGGGTTGCTTTTTCCGAGTCACGAACTATTCGATTCTAGACTGGAGGGAGGACGGGTACCTGCTGGATAGGACAGGCTGGGCGGGCGGGTTTTGAACTGGCTGAGATTAAGGGGAGAATCGATGGATGATGAGGGGATGGGACTGGTAGGAGTAAGGTGGGATCAGAACCCTTGAAATTGAGCTTGGATCGTGATAGGTACTGTACAGTCCACGATCTGTGGTAATCTTGATTGAGACTGGTTGGTTGAGGGATCGTCGTACTATTAGACAATGTACGACGAACAGACCCTTAGGCCTCAGCTCGGCGCCATCAGAAACCAATTTTCATAATGGATAAGGGTTCTCTCAAGGCACTTTCTTCGTTGAGTTAGAAGTGTTGGGATGAGGTCCAGATAAGACATCGTGATTGTTTGTATGCGTTGTATGGCTTGGTGGCTTATCGCAGGTGGTTTTAACTGGTCTATGCATTGAGCACAAGACCTGTACTCTCTGTACAATCATCCTTGACTCCCAGTCGTTATATGCTTTGCTGTGCATTGTCACGATTGTCTTGTCTTTCGATATCAACTTATATCCACGGCCTGGAAGGCTACTGAGATCGAGACAACGGCAACTGTCACTATAGGCCAGGCGACAGACCCAAGATAAGCATAGAATACACGGAGAGTATTCGATATTTCTTCAGTCCACCGAGGGATTGATATGTAGCAGAGGAGTTAAAATGAGCACAGACTATCTACAGTACTACTGCCAGGCTAGCTTATCTCGCCCTAGAACGGCCTATTGAGCAAGCATAAGTAACAGTTCGAGCAATCCAGACTTCCCCAAATCCCCCACACCCCGGAACGCCCGGCAAGCCAGAAACAACCCGGCCTCGATTGTCAACCCTCCCTAACCAACCACCAGGCTTCGTTCCCACATGGTTGCATGAAAGTAACATGACAACATGCTGACCCACGGGGCAACAACCTGGGGAATAGCACCACCGTATACACAAACAAAAGCAGAGGAGGAACAAGCACTGCGCTTGACGTGTAGCACGCCAAGCCGATTCTGCCCCCGGATTCGTCGGATAAGACCAGCAGGAAACAGGATTGCTATCCCAACCCTATCTACACTCTCCCCACGAGTCACATCCTGCAATCCTACCGGCAGCAAGCACTGCACGGACATGACTTATCGGGTCCATTCAACGGCCGTCATAAAGAGGTGCTGTCGGGATCCCTCCAAGTGGGTCCGCGAACCAAGGTCTAGGTTATCGGGGCCTGCTTATCAAGCACAAGGCGATAACGCCCGGTTTATATAGACCCAACGGTCTTTCGTCCTCGCGCCCGTGCTTTGGGGTCTGAGCAGCTGAATCAATATCCCTTGTGGTTCAGTATCCATTCTTGATACAGAGATTTCAAAACATTGGCGATTGATAGCGAGAACTCGGTCGGGATCCATCATGGTTTACTCCAGCCTCCAAAAGTCGCCTCCGCTCGACTTGTCGCATCATCTCTCGGCGGTGACCAAGAGACGCGAGAACAGTCTGGTGAAGAGCCTGTACAAGTACATGATCCGACCCAATGTCGATAACATGGCGGGTGGTGAGCATTGTTCTCAATCCTCTGGCGTGATGCCAGCATCACCAAGGCTTCCCCTCACTTACCGCGCACGACATCAGGCTTGCCAAATGCGTCATACTTCCCCTACGAGACCCTCGAGGCCACGGTCGCCCACCCCCAGCGATTCGCGGAGACGGCAACCACAGAGAAAGGAGACGCGCGGACCACGGACCGCATGGTCGTTCCCAAAGAAACCCCCCATGCCAACACGCTCCACAAGATCGATGTCGCCACGGCCCTGCAGTATGGCACCGCCGAGGGGCTGCCGGCCCTGGCCACGTTTGTGCGCGAGTTCGCCCGCGAGCATCTCCACCCCAACGTCCCCTATGCGGGCGGGCCGGCGACCCTGCTCACGACGGGGGCGACCGACGGCCTGTCCAAGGCCGTGGAGGCGTTCACCACCGCGTGGGATCCGCGGCGCGACTGGATCAACCAGCGGGAGGGCGTGCTCTGCGAGGAGTTTGTCTTCATGAACGCCATCCAGACCTTCCAGCCCCGGGGCGTCAACGTCGCCACCGTCGCCGTCGACGCGGAGGGGATGGTCGCGCACGGCCCGGGCGGGTTGGCGGATGTGCTGGAGAACTGGGATTTCAAGAAAGGTCGTCGCCCGCATCTGATGTACACCATCACGTAAGTTCCTCGACCCGTCCTCTCTCTCTCTCTCTCTCTCTCTCTCTCTCTCTCATCAAGCAACCACCAGTTAACCCGCTGGTTCTGCCTGCAGAATCGGCCAAAATCCCACGGGCGGGACTCTGTCCGTGGAACGCCGGAAGGAGATCTATGCGCTGTGTCAGCGGTACGACATCCTGATCATCGAAGACGACCCGTACTGGAACCTCCAGTACCCGTCCGCGGCGGCCACGGAGGCCCAGTACCGCGGCTCGCCCGCCGCGGTCCACCCGGCCCCGCGCAACTACAACGCCCACGGCCGGTCCTCCGGGTACGCGTTCCTGGACTCGCTGGTCCCCTCGTATCTGTCGGTGGACACGGATGGCCGCGTTGTGCGCCTGGACACGTTCTCCAAGACGATTGCCCCCGGGTGTCGGCTGGGCTGGATCACCGCCCAGCCGGCCTTCATCGAGCGGCTGACCCGCATCACCGAGACGAGCACCCAGCAGCCGTCCGGGTTCGTGCAGGCCATGGTGGCGGAGTTGATCGTAGGCCAGCAGGTGGACTCGGATACCAGTTCCAACGGCAAGAGCAAGGGCAAGGGCAAGCCGCGCGCCTGGCAGATGGATGGCTGGGTGCGGTGGCTGGAGGGGCTGCGCGCGAGCTACGAGCAGCGCATGCGCGACATGTGCACGGTCCTGGAGGAGGGGAAGTACCTGGTCGACACGGACGAGGCAGACCCAAATGCAGGGACCTGGGAGGTGCTGGACAAGGTGCAGATGTATGACTTTACGTGGCCCACCGGCGGCATGTTCGTGTGGCTGAAGGTCAGCGTCGAGACGCATCCCTTGCTGCAGAGGTACGGGGCCGAGCGCCTGAGCAAGGCGCTCTGGCTGCAGCTCATGGAGAAACCGTATCTGTGTCTGATGAGTCCCGGGTCGTTGTTCGCGCCCACCCCTGCGGCGCTCATCCGCTCGCAGCAGTACTTCCGGCTGTGCTTTGCGGCGATGCCCGCGGAGGAGGTCGCCGGCATCACTCGGCGGTTGGTGGACGGGTTCCGGGCGTTCTGGAGGAGGAAGGACCTGGATGGTTTGGAGGACGAGGAGATGATGCTGCAGCGGTTGCAGTTGGAGGGACCGGCGAATATGATGGGGTTGGGGTGTTGAGTTGTCTGGTTTGTGTTGATACTACGTACGGTAGTTACCCATGATGACGAGACAAAGTAACTATGGTTCATAGAGACGGTACCCCGTCAAAGACATTCCCTTCAAACACCACACACCTGAAACACGCTTAGACTTGGGAAAATTGACGACTAGCAAAAAGAAACTAGACAACAGACAAAAAGAAAGCGACCCCACTGGGACTCGAACCCAGAACCTTCAGTACCGAAAACTGACGCCCTACCATTGAGCTATAAGGCCTGATTGGGAAAGAGGGTCTAATTCACGCTCTATAGCCTACACCAAGCAAAGCTCAACAGAAACCTTGAATATTTCCCCTCATCAAATCTCTCTCCCCCTCACCACCTCCGAAATCCAATCCGCAGTCCCGTCGCAAGACAGACCACATCCACCTTACGCCTCTCCGTTCCTCCCCTCCCACATCCCCGAAGATGTCCCTCTCAAACGCCGACCTCGCCGAAGAAATCGAAGCCATCAACGCGATCTACGACCCAGACACCATCACAATCTCCAGCACGGGGACCAGCACCGCAAGCGCAGCCGCCGCACCCTCCACCCTCGACCTGGGCAGCAGCAGCAGCAGCAGCAGCAGCGAACCCGCTCCAACAACCCTCAAACTCCAAATCCCGAACCACCCGCACCTCTCCTTCCTCCTCGGCTTCCCCGCAACCTACCCGGACACGCCCCCGCTCATCCAGGGCACCGCCTCGACCGCCGCCCGCGGCGAAGGCAAACTCGCCGTCGACATCCTCGCCGCCATCCTGTCCCGAGTCTACACCGCCGGCGCGGTCTGCCTCTTCGATCTGATCTCCGAAGCGGAGACGGCGTTCACGGAGATTGGCGTGGGCGGGGAGAGTACCACCACCACCACCGCCGCCGCCGCCGCCACCACTGCCAATAACAACGACGCCAGCAACGGCAATGACACCAGCCCAAGCGCAGCGCAAGATTCCCCTGCGGAACTCACCCAGCCCGCGAAGCAGCTGCACGAGACGTTCGGTCTCCCCGCGCCGCCGGAATGGATCGTCTCGGAGGTGATCACGGAAAAGAAATCCGTGTTCGTGGGGCGGGCGGCCCGCGTGACGAGTCTGGGCCAGGCGAAGGCGAGTCTGGATTATTTACTGGCGAGCGAGAAGAGGGTCGCGGCCGCGACGCATAACATCAGTGCGTGGAGGATTCGGGAGAGGAGGAAGATTCCCGGCGGGGCTTCTGCGGGCGGGGAGGTGTCCGTCGTGCAGGACTGTGACGATGATGGGGAGACGGCGGCCGGGGGCCGGCTGCTGCATCTGATGCAGTTGATGGATGTCTGGGATGTGGTGGTCGTCGTGACGCGGTGGTATGGTGGGGTGCTGTTGGGGCCGGATCGATTTCGAATCATCAATGCGGCGGGGAGGGATGCACTCGTTAAAGGGGGGTTCGCGAGGGAGTCCTCCTCCTCGTCGTCGTCTGGCGGGAGTGGGGAGGGAGGTGGCAAGAAGAAGAAGGGGAAGAAATGATTTGATGATCTGAGCTGTGGGCTGATGTTGGATCGTGGGGAACGGTTATGCTGCGCAACGCATCGGTCTTGCGGTTTGATGCGTAATCCAGTCTGCTCCCCGGGGAGGCTTGAAAAGGATGCAGCGTTATCTGCTGCTGCTGCTGCTGCTGCTGGCGGGCTGCTGCTTGACATGGACGTGATGGCATCCATGCATCTCGGCTGGTGGGTTCGCGACATTCGCACATAAAACCACTATCTTCCCCAGGCTATTGGGGTGACTCTTCTGATCCAGGCACTCCGGTCGCTGAAACACTATCATGACGACACGTCCTGGATCATACCATATACGGATGTTCTGGTGGGGGAGCATGCAACTCCTTAAGAGATGGTCGTCAATGCACCCCAGCGGCTGTGGCTGCTGGTGCGGCTGGTACCTCATGGCGAAAGCGATGAGCTACATGTTTAAAATGACTCTTGACATGTACAGTAATTACAGGTAGATAGGCTGTCATACACCTCCGAGAACATCCATTTCCGTGATGTGACCCGAGACAATCACCCATAGTGGCTGGCACCTGTCACATGCAGCACATTCTGCGTTCGGTCTCCGACTCCAATCCAGGTACAGCCAATTTCCCTCCACCGAACGAAAACAGCCACAAACTCACTTTGGAATTCAACGTCCCCGCAGACAGGCGTAGAATGTCTATATCATAGGGCAGGTCAGGAGATGAGGGTGACCGACTCCCTTCGCTTAAGTGACGGCTGCGAATCTCCCGCTGTGGCCCGTTTCAGATAGATTTTGATCCTGTTCCCCACGAAGACAGTTTCAGGCTACCTGACAGCCGAAGGTAGCCGTGATCTGTGGTTTCTTGGCATGGCGTAGAGATCTGGCTCAGCTAATGAGGTTGCATTGGGGATGGGGTTGGCTATGGCTATGGCCAGGGAGATGGGCCCTTGGAGCTGGGTAGCGAGATTACGATGCTTGGCTCAGTGATTGTAGGTCTTGCTCAATCCAGTCGGGCGATCGGGGTCTGCGCCATTGACTGGTGTTCAGGTGGATGTGCACCCATGTGTAGTTCACCTCAACCAAGTAAAGCAACTGGGCGTATGTAATGCACAATGCATGTTGTGTAGGAGGCGCAGTACACTGTGAACTATAGATATCGGTTCTCTGCAAATAACGTCGACACAGGCACCCAAGTTCCAATGCGGAGACTTCAACCGATCTTTAAGCGGAGGTCTCCGACAGGCAGCAAAGAACTAGGAAGGCAGACTCCGCAAATCCCACAGCCAGAGTTTTGCGCCGAAAGGGTCCGCGGGGATCGGCTTGGAACCATGGAGCGGCGGTGGTTGGGAAAGGTTGCCTAGGTACGGACTGCACCTGTACAGTACTTCATGGTATTGTTCGGTTCGTACCTCGGTCGGTCCCCTTGATTCCCAACCACAGAATTATTTTTATACACACCCTCAAGGTAACAGTGAGGGACGGCGCAGGTACGGTACTTTGGGCATCGTCCAAGCGATCCATATACTTTACCAGTAAGACATTTGGTTTGACGTTGTTCGCCACCAAGCGCCAAGTCGGACCAGTCGGGGTATTGATAGGCAGTATTCTCCAAACTCGGCTGCAGTCTGCAAATGAGTTCCCAAGACCTGACTGGAGGAAGGTAGACTCTCTTTCTCCTGATTGTATCGGCTTAGATGTCTGTTTTTGGGCTTGCGTGAATTGGTTGGTTGAGTCGGTCGTTTTGTCCTGATTCTGTGACTGATACACTTAGACTAAAGCAATACTGCAATATTGTTGGCAACCTGCTGGTAATGAATCTTATGATTAGCGATCCAAGTTGGGGAATGATGGAGAGAGAAGGGGTGAACACACTTGTGAGAGGCAAATGTGTTATCCCAGTTTATGGATTCACATGCGATGTGGTATCGGACGGAAATGCATTTGCAGATCTGATCCCGAACAGGGCGAAGTCCGAACTGTGCGCGCGCATACACATACACGCACACACAAATGCACACACATCGTTGCAACTCAGAACCGGATAGTTGACCATCAGTGGCTACATGACCCACGTCGAGCGGAGATTTCGAGGTGGAAGTAAGGGTCCGTGATGCAGGGTTTGTGTTCAGTTGACCCGGTCGGGGAAAGATGTGACTTGTAAGTCGCGAGGCGATGAGGAGTTGGGATGAGGAGGAAATGTCAATCCATGGTGATGATTGGGCGGACAGAGGGGACTTTGCGACAGTTCAAGACAGATTCGGGTAGTTCTGTATCCATTCAAGATTGAGGAGGGTTCATCAGGGTTCGTCAGGGTTCATGGGCAGTCAAATGAGCATTCAATTTCCACTGGTGACTTACTCGTACCTGAATTCGAGAGCGACAAGACTTCCAGACTGCAGGCGATGATTGGCAGTGGGCCGGCGCCAATCGATCCTTCCACGGCCAATGATCCGAAGCGCCGGGCTGATGGTGCGACAAGATCCGCCCTGAGCAGTCACCGTTTCATCTGGAGTATACTTCTCTATTCTCCTCTTCTCCACTCTCCACACTTTCTGCTCTGCTCTACTGCGTACTGTACATTGAACTGTATCCATTCATTCAACTGCACCTTCACTGCACATCAATGCATGTCTCTGAATCCGATCCCTGATTGTTACCTGTCGCCTGAATCATGGCGCTTGCAATTGTGAACCATGACAATGCTATATAATCCCCCCTGTAACACCAGGGCTGGGCATCTTCTCTTCCTTTCCTTCTCTCATCCCGCGCTGGAGCGTTCAGTCCTTTCATCCTTTACACCTGTTCGACAGTTTCGCGGGCTAGTCCTGTCTTTCTTTTCCTTCCCTCCTTCTTTTACTTGCATCTTTGCGGTTGAACTTGCCTGTGGCAGTCTCCAACAGTCCTTCCTTCGACTTAACAAAGAACAATCATTGTTTGGTGACATCTTCCGCCACAAAACCATTCTTTGACCTGTGGCTTCTTTGTTGACGGTCTGCATAAAGGTAATTTTTGTCTATGCACATCGATGTGTTATGCTCATGTGTTATGCACGATCTTCTATACGGAGATCTACTGTTGATTGCAGCAGTCATTGGCCTTCAACACTCCCATGTACGAGATATAAAATGCACCTTGCTAACCCAGCTACATCAGTTCTTCCATCCTTCAAACCTTCGAACCTTCAAACACCTGTTCCCATTCGTCTGGCACGATTTGAACAACATATTTTCCACCACTTTCTCAACTGTCGAACAGTCTAACGCTTTACGAACCAACCACCATGTTCTCCAAGTCGACTTTCGTGGCAGTTGCCCTGTTCGGCCTGTCCGCCGTTGAAGGACACATGATCATGTCCAAGCCTGTTCCCTATGGCAAGGATACTCTCAACAACTCGCCTCTGGCGGCTGACGGCAGTGACTTCCCCTGCAAACTCCGTTCCAACACCTATGAAGTCACTGAGTGGAACAAGGCAGCTATTGGCGAGAGCATGCCCCTGACCTTCCAGGGCAGTGCCGTCCACGGTGGAGGATCCTGTCAGATTAGTCTGACCACGGATCTAGAGCCTACCAAAGACTCATCGTGGATGGTCATCAAGTCCTTCGAGGGTGGCTGTCCTGCTAATGTTGATGGAAATCTCCCCGCAAACCCCAACGGGGTGGATCCGTATTCCTTCAACTACACCATTCCTGAGGGTATTACTCCTGGCAAATACACTCTGGCCTGGACCTGGTTCAACCGCATCGGCAACCGCGAGATGTACATGAACTGCGCCCCTCTTGAGGTCACTGGCGGCTCCGGTTCCAAGCGTTCCCGCGTGATGCCGAAATTGGAGGAGCGCTCTTCCAGCTTCCCTCCCATGTTCGTCGCCAACGTCAACGGCTGCACTACCAAGGAGGGTGTCGATATTCGCTTCCCTCAGCCTGGTGCCGATGTGCAGTATCTTGGTGTGGCCAGCAACTTGGCACCCGAAGGCAGCGCTGCCTGTACTGGTACCGCTACCTTTGGTGGTGCCGGTGACACGAGCTCTGGTACCAGCTCTGGCACGAGCTCCGGCTCTGGTACCAGCTCTGGCACGAGCTCCGGCTCTGGTTCCGGCTCAAGTGCAGCATCGAGCGCAGCTGCTGCCGTCTCTGTCGTTGCCAACGCCAATGCGAACACTGGATCTTATAGTACCTCAACTACCGCGGCGGCTGCAAAGACGGCTTACGCAGCGCCTCCAGCAGCAAGCTCTGCTTCGTCTGGGTCTTTGTCTGAATCTTCGTCTGGAACTTCCTCCGGAGCTTCCTCCGGAGCTTCTTCTGGAACGTCCTCCGGCACGTCCTCTGGATCGTCTTCTTCTGCATCCGGCAGCACTAGCACATCGACCTCTGGTGCCCTGTCCGGCTCTTGTAGCCAGGAGGGCGAATGGAACTGCATCGGCGGCTCTTCCTTCCAGCGTTGCGCCAACGGCAAGTGGACCTCTTCCCAGGCTATGGCGAGCGGCACCCAGTGCACGCCGGGCCAGAGCGCCGACCTCTCCATCGCTAGTGCCAGTTCCAAGCGCGATGTGACTGAGATGCGCGCCAGACGCCGTGCCCACGGAGGTCACCAGCACGTTTGAACGCTCCAGCCACAACCATTTCTTAACGAATTTCATGATTTTATTTAAACATTCATTTTCGCTCACTATGCATGCGCATGTGAAAGGCTCTTCGGGGTTTCGCTCTTTTTGTACATTCAAGACCAGAAAAGATACAGCATATCGAGATAGGAGAATATACTGCTGGTCGGTATCAGTGACTTTATTTCAGTGACTTTATATTGTTTGTAATTGTTGTGATAGATAAATCCTCTTCGAGTGAGCACGCAACTTCGTAGGACTGCAAACATCCTAGATCATGCTTATGTCCTCCATGAGAAGTTGGCCATTGTCGGGCGAGCAGTGTTGGCATAGACAATATCTAGGCCGGTCTGCATTGACCAACTGTCGGGACTACTCAACCGGCTGCCCCATTGTGTCTGTATCCTTACCCTGCTCAGGGTAGGTGTACATAGTATCGATATGCTCTGTCTAATGTCTCGTTGGTGGAGCCGGAACCTCAAATACTCCACACTTGTTCCCGCCTCAGGCATCCGCCCGCACTGGCGGCCAGCTGGCGGGCTCCCAAAACAGAAATCAGGGCTAGGGCATTGCCGCACCCACGACGGGCGGTTCGAACTAAGCGAAAATTTGCGCAGGCTCATCTTGGAGATACTCGATCTTCAACCTCGAACGACGATAACGACCACCACACCCCGTCGACAACAATGGCGTCTCGTCCTACCGTCACCATCGCCACGGCCGAGGGCAAGCCCAGCGGGGCCACTGCTCCCCTTCCCGCCGTTTTCTCTGCGCCCATCCGTCCTGACATTGTTCAGTATGTTCTTCGATCTTGAGGGAATCCGAGACACCAGGAAATTCACGACCGGGATGGAAAAGGCTGACGGATTGCGAATTATAGGCAGGTGCACACCGGCATTGCCAAGAACAAGAGACAGCCCTATGCCGTGAGCGAGAAGGCTGGTGAACAGACTTCCGCTGAGTCCTGGGGTACCGGTACGTTGGATCATCGATTGAAGAAGGGAGGCAGAATTTTCAGGGACTGATTGGGATCGGACTTGCAGGTCGCGCTGTCGCTCGTATCCCCCGTGTCTCCGGTGGTGGTACTCACCGTGCTGGTCAGGCTGCTTTCGGTAACCAGTGCCGTTCCGGTCGCATGTTCGCCCCTACCAAGGTCTGGCGTAAGTGGCACCAGAAGGTCAACGTTGGCCAGAGGTATGAGATACACCGTTCTTCGCGCAGTTGGGGGCAAGGGCAAGATTGACCAAGATTGACTGCAGACGTTTCGCTACCGCCTCTGCCCTCGCTGCCTCCTCCGTTCCCTCCCTCCTCTTCGCCCGCGGTCACCGTGTCGCCAACGTCCCCGAGGTTCCCCTCGTCGTTGAGTCCAAGACCTTCGAGAACGCTGCCATCAGCAAGACCAAGGCCGCCGTTGCCCTTCTCCAGGCCATCGGTGCTGGCTCCGACCTCGTCAAGGTCCAGAAGTCCCGCAAGCTCCGTGCTGGTAAGGGTAAGCTGAGGAACCGCCGCTTCCGCCAGCGCCGCGGTCCCCTCGTTGTCTACAACCCCGAGGTTGATGGCAAGGAGCTCGTCCGTGCCTTCCGCAACATCCCCGGTGTCGAGACCTCCTCCGTCTTCTCCCTCAACCTCCTCCAGCTCGCCCCCGGTGGCCACCTCGGTCGCTTCGTCGTCTGGTCCTCCGCCGCCTTCGAGGCCCTTGACCAGGTCTACGGCAGCACCACCACCCCCGCCGCCCTCAAGAAGGACTACCTCCTTCCCTCCAACCTTGTCGCCAACGCCGACCTGGCCCGTCTCATCAACTCCTCTGAGATCCAGTCCGTGCTCCGTGCTCCCAAGGGTGAGGCCCGCACCAAGCGCGCTGCTGTCCAGAAGAAGAACCCTCTCCGCAACAAGCAGGTCATGCTCCGCCTCAACCCCTACGCCGCTGCCTTCTCCAAGGAGAAGCTCGGCCAGAAGCCCCTTGAGAGCGGCAAGCCCGAGCGTGTCTCCAAGCAGTTCCTCAACACCCTCTACGAGGCTTAGATGGTTCTTGGCTGACGGTCCGATGAGTGTTTGCGTTTTCTAATGTGGTCTTTTTTCTAAAATTGGTAGCCAGAGCAAATGAACAGGATTTGCAATACCCCATGACGTTTTTAATGAGATGGATTTGTAGTTACTTGCGGGTTTCATTCGTAGTTGAAAGTAATCTTGGCGTTGTAGAGTATATGTATGCATTATCGCGGATGGACAGAGATTTCTGTCGACCCTAGTGTGACCACCACCACCACCACCACCACCACCCGGCAACTACTCACCAAGTCTCCGCCTCAAAATAGCACTCAACCTAATCAAACCGAACACCTCAACCCGTAAGGATCCCAATCACGAATCCTGCATCCTTTGGTTTTGCTCATGGTCCCGTCCTACATCCCAATAATCCCTCATCCCGTTCGTTCCTCAACCATCAACCCATAACCCATATACCCCGAAGCTGCATGATGTTACATCACCTCATCATGAAACTTATCTCGGCCCGACATCCCGAACGTCCAGCTCAACCTCAACCTCAACCTCAGCCCAGCCAGCCAGCCTCTTCCATTGATTTACCTACCACCCATGCTCAAAAAAAATAAAAGTAAAATAAAATAAAATAAAACATTCAACTTCCCAAAACCACCCACCCACCCACCCAACCAACACGATTCCCTCGACCGAAAGGGGAGCCAGCAAGCCACCACCTGGCACCGTGGCACACACACCCCTGACACAATCAATCTACCCGGGAGAATAGATTAGACTAAGTGAATGTTCGCCGACGGTTTCATGTGATGCCACAACGGCACGAACTACTCCCTACCTTCCGACCAACACCAAACACCAACACCCAACTGATCCAGTTTAATTTGTCGACAGCTGAGCCTAAATCTGACGCTGTGGTTTCCGTGTCCGAGGTCTTTTTCTAAATCTAAGGGAACCGGGATTAATATAGATCTAAGTTATACTTTGGGAGTTTGTGGTTTGTGGCTGTTTGCTCCCGCACTGAGATCCCGAGTTCTCCGGTACCGTATTCGAGCGTGGTTTACCTTGCTTATTCTGGTTGAGTGTGAGGTTAGGTGTTTGTTAGCGGTAAGGTAGGGTATGGGCAGGTAGGTGTGTGTATGCAGTGGTGGCTAAAGGTGCTCCTCTCCGTAGTCCGGGCTTGATTGGGAGTTTATCTTTGTGTCTACCTAGGAGAATTGGAATACTCATATGAGTAGCCAAAAAAAAAAAAAAGCTCAGGCCAATATAGATTGGGATCCCCCCTATAATCAACTAAACTCCGGTCGGGATCGTATCCGGGTTAATAGGGAAGCCTAGGTAGCATGAATCATGTTTGGGGCCTGGCTCTCTCTGGGTGGGTTGCGGGGGTTCGTGATTACCTACCTTACTACGAGTATAGGCAGTCTTTGCTGCGTCTTCTATGGTCAGTACCTAGGCTCCCGTAGGTTGGTTGGTGTTCCCTCAGGGGGGCAATGGCATAGGATAGGGTTGCTTGCTCGAGTGGTTTGCTGTCCTCTTGCTAGGCTGCCAGTATATGCAACTAATGAGTTGTTTAAATGAACATGTCTTGGACACACCTGAAAAGTCCCCACCGATGTACATATAGTACAGCGTCTGAGACTAAACCACGGTGATTCACCGGATCCTACCGAGGCCTTTGTTTGCGCCGTTACGGGATGGATGGGGGTTCCGCTATCCGGCTGTCAGAGATGATCCCTGTTTCTTAGGCTGGATGCTGTATGGTTGCTTATGGAATTAATCACTAACGACTTGTAAGAGCACTACTACCGGGCTGGGCTGGTCTTTTTGGGTCCTGTGGTGATGAGGGTGTAGGTGATGGTCTGATCTATTCTGTTATTGATGAATAGGTGGATCGTTTGTGGGGTGAGGGAATTGATGTCTGGGATAGTGGAGGTTAGAGTACCGCATGTGTATATTACTAGGTACTAGGTACTCATATGAGTGATTACAGGTACCTACCAGTAGCGAGGAAGGTAATATGTACAGTACTCCCAGTAACCATTCAGCTAATCCATGATCAACCTCTTATACCTAGACCATCATTGGTGGGATTAAGCAACCGCCGTCTCTACGTACTCAGTGAGTGCGAGAGAGAGCTGAGCATGAGGACAAGTATCCTTCTTTCTTGAGCTCTAATTGCTTAATTCAAGAAGAGGACACTATCAATCTTTCAATCAAGCAACTTCTTTATGTTGATCCCTTGGCGAAGAGACTGCCAGACGGGCATAGTCAATTAGGCTATTGCTATTGATTCGACTCTTCCTCATGCTCCTCCAAGCATGGGACACGTTCGGTCCGAGGTTGAAACCCTGAGAGACATAACAAGCCTGATTGCTCCGTTGGCTGGCCACGACCATTCAGACGTATCAATTCCATTCCGATTGCCTCCCCCCCCCGCCTCCCCTCTCTCTGCTTTTGCCACCGCCGTCGTTGCTGGTGCTCCACTGGTTAGTACTAATCGTATGTATTGTACTTCGTATATAAGAGAGAATAAACGGAGACCGAACTGTGTGAGGTGCCCTGTTTGTTGTTGCTGCTGCTGCTGCTGCTGCTGCTGCATGTGTCAAAAGTACCATGCAGCTTCCTGGTGGTGGTTCTGGGGTGGACGGCGGAGGGGCGACGGGCTTACGGAGACATAGTGTCGATCTAGTGCGGGTAGTGGCAATTCTGATTTGGTTTCAGAGGGGGGTCGGGGTCCGGGTTATTTGTGTGTGGAGTACACAGTAAGTTAACTCCATTACAAGTCACTCTCTGGGAGAGATGACAGTTGGAATGGTGGCGATGGGTTTGGTGGAGGTCGGTTCGGGGAGGGTAGGTATGACGAGTTATACTTGGCTGGACCATGCGTTAACTACTCAGAGCACGAACGTTCCGTTGTACTGTACTCAGGTATGAGTGTAGGAAGATCAAGGAAGCTTCACATCTCGGATCAAGGTACGATCTCTTGT